TTGTAAAATACTTGTGTTAAGTGTTTAAACACTAATAGCCAAGTCCGGAGTCCCTCTCATATAATATCCAAGTTACACCCTCCATAACTGATTTTCTTTGTAGTTTTCCCTTGTTGTAGTACACTGTTTTCGTGGGATTAGGTTTCTTAAGATGTGGAGAAATGGTAACTCCAACACACAGGTTAATTAGAAACCTTACATCATTTGATTGATTACAATATCATTGTCCTTTGGTGAGAATCTTGGGGGAGGTTGGCTCCAAGGGGTCAATTTATATCTTTCTTTTTGGGAACGAGGTAGAGAAGGTTGTGATTCCTTGGTCTCAATACAGAAAGCCATTATCTTTTGCATTGTCCAATATTAGATTGATATATTAATATCAATATGCTCTTTTATTTACGGATTTACTAGTATCCAATACAACATTGACATACTATTACTCAATTCTCGTGTGAAATTAGTTGTCATAACATCTCAATCTTTGAATATTAAAGATATGAAACAATTTTCAAATACAATAACAATTGATAAGCAATTTTCATTGAGAAATATGGATGGTATATATCAGATGACTGAATTGTGATGATTTTTGACTGAATATTGATATATGTTCTCTGGTACAAGTCTTACAACTCCTTGCTAGGTTATAATTGTTCAAGTTGTGAGTTAGTCTGACCTTCCACCATGTTTTTTTAATCGAGGATTGCCTGTTTCCTCTTTTCCGAACTGCTGTCACGTTAATAGTGTTATTCAAACTAATATTCCGTAATATGTCAACTAAATCCGGACGATGAAGATAACATCTTTTTAAAATCTGATCGAGTTTTAAGTACCTCTCTTTTGTCTGGAATTAATAGTACTTAAAACTGTAGCGAAATTCTGTTATAGTAAAACTCAAAATAAGCAATTATGAAATAGGCAACATTGATTTCAGACGGGCCATTTTCTTCTCTACGAAGTATTTATGAAATACTGAAACATGTCTGAAAAGCTTAAGAGCTAAGATCGATCATAACAACTTTTTCTTGTAACAGGAACAGCATTGTATGGCAGTGAGCATGGAGTGATACAGAAAAGCTCTTTCATTAAGTCATTACATCGACATAGTGATATGCTGATGCTAGTATATAATAATCAATTACTGTCAAAATGTATATAATAATAATCATGATCAAATTACCCAATTGGTCATTTTCTCTACTTTTGTCGACTTTTATATGTATATTCTTTTTTTATCATGGAAAAACTAAATATCATGTTCAAATAATAAGTTTTGACAAATTTATACATACTTCATATAAGAACTAATAAATTTAGACAAGGTTTTTTAATAAGTGTAATTCGGGTGATAAGAATGAAGAATATTTTATAATAATTCATCAAAGTCTTTTGATTTTCACTTATACATAGTGTGAAACATTGTATATGTAGAGTATAAACTGACTCTTGAATTTCAAATTTTACTCCGTATTATGAAAAAATGCTGTGATACTATTATCGATATTTTTTTTTAAAGAAAAAAGTCAAATAATATAATAAGAGGAAAAATTAAGGAAAGGGATAGACGAATTCCTTAAAATTGGACGCAAAAAGTTTAATAAAACTGAAAATGCTGAGTAATTAGTGGTAAAATGAGTTGGAATTGTCTGAAAATTTAAAATATATCATAAAAAGAGGCGCATAATTATGAGGAAAAGAGATTAGTGGAGTGGTTAGTTTAAATGTTGTCATGTTTGATTTCCCAAGGAATCACACCAGGATTTCCTCGTATATGTCATTGTTTGGAGACTATTGTTATTGTTCTCAACTTTATAAAGATTGGTCAATGTACTGAATTATTTTTACTTGCCTTCAAACAATCTTATTTACAACTTACGAATTTTAAATACGATCTTGCTAACGAGCGTCCCAGGGCGTTAAATAAGGATAAATTATATTGGTTGAAATGGTATTAAGTTAGGAATTCATGACAAAATCACGCGTCGTTCGGTGTAATTAATGTTAATTTTACTTTAATATTTGTACTTTAATTCTCTTATCTAACGCCCCGAGGGCGCTCATTAGCTTTTGCCTTTTACGAAAATATAGCACATGCCAAAAAAATGTTTGGCAATGCGGCCAAATACTTCTAGAATTATAACTTTATGACTATTGGCAGATTGCAAGCATTCATTAAAATCTAGTCTAAATTATATTAATGATTTGACTTGGTTAAGGGAAAAATGTTTGACTTTAAAGAATCACTCTCATTGTTAGATCAATTGAAAAAAAACAATTGTAAATGATGTAGGCGAGATTCATTGTTGAGTTTAACTCAGTGGTATTAGGGTATGTTCTCTTACGTTGAAATTCAGTTCAGTTCAGCTCAGTTCAATTCATCTCAGTTCAGTTCAATTTAGCTCAGCTTCTAATTTCCTTCTCTTATAAAATATTCAGTTCAGTTCATTTCAGCTCAATTCAGTTTAGTTCAGTTCAGTTCAGCTGAATTTAGTCAATGAGAACAAACCCTTAGTTCACAGTCGCAAACAAGACAACAAATCCGAATATAGCAATGTCATACCGAGTACTAAAAAACAAACAAAGGGAAAGAGCAAGGCAATAGAAAAGAAACCTCACCCAACGAGGTGTAACGATCAGTTGGGTTGTAATTCCTGTATATTTAGGCAACTTGTAAAGTTGTAATTGGAATAAATGATTCGCAACCATATGCTATGGTATGCGACTGGTGTAAATTATATAAGCATGTATATATATACACAACATACTAGAGAAGGGGATAAGTAAAATTAATTACTAAAGACTAAAGTAGTAGAATTAAATGTGTTATGATAAGTTACAAGTGGGGGTAAAAAAAATAATTTATGTGTGGCCAATATTGTGTTTCACATTGACCAATAGATCTTACTGCGTTGAACAATCAACAGTACTATTGGCGGTGCCAAATATCTTCGTTCTACTACTCCGTTAAACATTCAAGGCTACAAAGAAGACCATTTTTTTTAATTTTGGATTTTTCTCAATATTTCTGATTGCTGAAGTTCCCATTTTTGCAGTACAACCTTTTTTCTTGTTTTATAGCTTAGTTTGTTATTTGCTCACATATCTAAATTTGAGTTATAAAGGTATATTCCTTGTCTAGTATGGAGGGTAGAATTGAATAGATACTACTTTCTCGATTAAAATTTAAGAAAATGATATCTAATCAAAGTACGATGTACATACTAATCACTAGAAGAAATGTATTTCATAAAGTTTAGTAAAATTCAATTTTGAACAATGATTCCAATTAATTAGACTAGTGAATGGAAAAAGGAAGAAAAAAAAAGACTATATGTTTAGAAGAAGATTAATAATAAAAATCGTACAATGGGGACTATGGACTATCCATACACATGAATATGTGTTTTGGTGTTTAAGTTCTAAATTCGAATCTCATACATATATCATGTATCAATTGATTAATCGAAATCTTTTGCATTAAAAGAAAGGAAATGAAAATTACTATAGAAGACCTAATATAATAGAATTCAAATTGATATTAATCTTGGCTCATGCAAGTTGAATCAACCAAAAAGTATTACATAACACTAAGGGCGTGTTTTAATTTACTGAATTGAATTGAATTGAACTGAACTGAACTAAAATGAGCTGAAATGAATTGTTTATGAGAGAAGGAAGCCAAGAATTGAACTAAACTAAACTAAGATTAAGCTGAAGAGAAAAAAAACCCTAACATTGAATTTTTCCACATGAAAGTAATTGACAAATCAAGTACAAGTTCAACCAAATAAACTAAAGGGTGATGATATATATGTAGCTCTTAGGATTATATATAAGCATTAAATATACTTCATAAAATAAAATTAAGTTGGGAATTCAGGACAAAATCACGCGTAGATCGGTGTAATTAATGTTATTTTATCTTCAATATTTCCTTTTTTTTAGCTTCTTATACATAACCCAAGGGGCTATGTTTATCATTTTCCTAAATTAAATTACTACTCCCTATGTCCCTAGCTATTTGTTTGCTCCATAGGCAAAATGTGCTTTAATTTATTAAGAATTGAACCAAAGTTTTCAAGTGAATTGGGAGTATCATTGTCTTTTATAGTTTTATTTTATGAGTGTGCGTAAGTGGGTTGATGGTGGGGACATATTTCCAAATAAGGAAATAGAGCAATCTTTAAGGGACATTTAAATACGGAATATGAGTTAAATAAATTGGGACAAAGGAAGTACGTAGTAATAAAATTATTAAAGAGAGAATCAACTTTCTCACCAACTAATATGACTCGCACTGCATCAACCAACCTTTGTCATAATTTGGATCAAATAACATTCTATCATCAAGATTAAACAAGCTTTAATCATAGATAACACTAGGCACTAGCTAGTCAATTTTCTTATAAAAATGTTATGCAAAAATAATATTAGAAAGCCCTTTTCATATATGTGGGAAATTCCTAATGTAAAAATGTATGGTGCAAGTGATAAGAATAAAATATGTATAGCTAGCAAGCATTAGCACTAGGATTTGTACTAATAAGTGTCTTATTCATATAGTAATTCACGTTCACAAGTCACAACTACTTGAATTGAATATAGTGTCGTCTTTTACCAATTACCACTCATCAATCTCAAAGACCAAGACAAACAAACAAGAAAAATAAAAAAGAGTGATCGACTTCCAAAAACACTACTCTACTACTAACACTACTAGTATAGTATACTACTACGAGTAGTACAACCCATAGTACTCATGACTAGTAATTTATAAGTAGTCACTGCAGCTTAGAAGATGGAATCAAAAATATAAGACAGATAGAAATTAAATTAATTAATGGGGACAAACTTATTTTTACTACTTCAAGAAGAAGAGAGAGATATAAATACATTATAATATATTCATTTACTTATAAACAACAAATTAATCAAGTTTTAAATAAAAAAGATGAGCTCTTTTGCCAAGGTGATGAGCAAGCACATAATTTTGGGCCTTATTTTTAAAGGTAGAGTAGTGAATGGGAGACACGGAAACAGCTCGCACGTTCTCCTCATATCTCTTACATTTTCATTATTTTTATTTTTATTTTTATTTAATTACATAATATATAAATAAATATATAATCATATAATTAATTAATTTACAATTTACATACTTTTTCTTCTTGACAATATGTTGTCTCACCTCCCTAGGAATTTTAAACCCCATTTTCTCTCTTGTGATTTTCCATAAATACTCACTTTCTTCATGCCCTAAAAACCCCCTCTTTCCCCCCCTTATTTGTCACTTCATTCTTCATTTCTTCCATTTTTACTCTTCTTCTTACTATATTATATTTTATATTTTTAATATCCCACTTTTTATACTTTTAATTTAGCTCAATTTCTTAAATTTGAAGCTTGAGGGGATTTCCTAATTCATATTGGTTTCAATTCTTGCTTGTGATCATCATGGTGGGTTTAATTTCTCTCCTTTTTTTTTTTATTTTTATTTTTGTGAATTACAATTTTGAATTTTTGATAACTTTCTAGTACATACAACAATAACAAACACCCACTACTAATTCTGCTACCTAACTAAAAGATTAATATGTATAATTAAGATTTTTTTTTTCATGCTTATCTTGAATTTTGCTTAGCTGCTCCAAGTTCATAAGTTTGCTAATTTATTGTAGATTTATGTTTTTTTTTTATCTTCCTGTTTTAGATAATTGAAATTCTGAATTTTGGTTAGCTTATAATTCATAATTCATAGCAATATTGAATTTTTTAAATATGTTTTGGGTGAAATTAAATATGTGTTCATGTTTAAAATTATCTAAAATTCGATTAGCTAAAAAGTTGTTACATATGATGTATAATTAAGTGAATTATGTAAATTGACAAATTCATTAAAAATGTTTTAGGGTTATGGAAAGCCAGCATGGTTGGATGCACTATACACCCAAAACTTCTTTGTGAATTGCCCAGCTCATGAGACAGCAAAGAAGAATGAGAAGAACGTATTATGCTTAGATTGTTGCACTAGTCTTTGCCCTCATTGCTTAACCATGCATCGCTTTCATCGTCTAATTCAAATTCGTCGATATGTCTACCACGATGTCATTAGATTGGAAGATCTTGAGAAAGTTATCGACTGTTCTAATGTTCAGGTTCCTTTCTAACATAATTCTCTTACTTTTTTTTTTTTTTTTAATCCATAATTCTCTTCATTTTTTTTTTAAATTATTGAACTAACAAGCTTATAATATATTTCACTAGGCTTATACTATCAATAGCGCGAAAGTAATCTTTATCAAGAAAAGGCCTCAAAATAGGCAGTTCAAAGGAGCTGGAAATTATTGCACTTCATGTGATAGAAGTCTTCAAGAACCATATATTCATTGCTCTTTAGGGTGCAAGGTAAACAAATTAAATTATGCACTTTATTTGTTTGTATGATGATTAAATTTTAATTTTTCATTTGTATATATATTACTATGTAGTACTAGTATGTATGTAGTCATACAATGCAAATTTCACACATATAAATTATAATTCTTTAACCATACAGTTAATCTCTTGCTTAGATCGATTACAATATAGTTTTTGAAACTTGAACCTTGGTGCTTATTTAACTAGTTACTCCGTAGTTGTTACTATAAGTTGACATTTAATCAATTCAACCGAAAAATTCAACTTCATATAAATACAATTTTTGAAATTTGCACTAATTTTTCATTCTATAATGTCAATATTATTATTTAGCTCCTTCCCTTAAACTGATTTTATTGTGCTTTTTGTGGTTGAATTATGTGTAGAACATGACAAGCTCAACAAATTAGCAAATTTTAAGTTGCAAAAGAATAATTCTATAGCTTTGTCAAAAAGAAAAACGAACAATTCTATAATTAGCTTGAATATTTGATCATAAGTACTGTACAGAATATCAGACAAAGTCAATTCTAACATAAAAACTGTGCTCAAAAGAGCTCATTATAACGCTATACACCCCGATATACTGCACACTGAAAAAATGAGTATGGGTGTAAGTGCGCATGGGGCACCTTGAATGTCTGAGAATCTTATGATAAAACTTCAGCTTTATAAGAGTATTAATATTGAATTCAAGCTCTTATTTTGTGACAAAGTTAATGCTTAATTTTATGAAAAAGGGTTATAGGTTAAGATATATGATCAGAGTATATTATAATTTGTAGGACTAGCTATACTGAACAAAAAACTTTGGACGTAATTAATGTGTGAATTATTTGTGTTATTAGGTGGACTTTGTGTTGACGCATAATAGAGACCTCTCACCCTACTTAAGGGTATGCAAAGTGTTGCAATTGAGCCCGGACTTCTTATACCCTCAAGACATGGGAGATGATGAAATGACCAATGAAACTCCTAACTCCACCATCGTGGATTGCGACGAGCCAATGAGCTCTTACTGCGGCTCATCGGACTCCGAGAACATGAGCGTGGCATGCACGGAGACCGAGATCGTTCGGAAGAAGAGAAGTGGATTGTACGTGTGTGGAAGATCAATTAATAAAGTTTCCGACGAAGACATGGCCACAAGCATGAGTAGAAGAAAAGGGATTCCTCATAGGTCTCCTTTATGTTAAAATTCAAATAATAGTATAACTTAAATCAAGGGAAAAAAATAAAAAAAATCCTCAAATAATCTCTTCATTTTAAATTTATTTATAGGAGTATTATTTAGTTTAATTTGATTTCTTCATCCCCTACCCCTTTTCTTTTTTAGATTTATTAAGCTTATTTATTGAGATAAATTATTATATTTTGGACTAAACAAGTTCAAATTTGATTTAATTAGTGACAAATTAAACCCCCTCCCCTCTTAATATTTCAATCTTAAACTTCTACCTCGTTCTAAGTTAATTAATCACTCGGTCGGGCGTTTTGTCTTAATGGCATCACGTGGTTCCCAATTCCAAGTAAATGGTTTTTGTATATTTTTCTATGGTATGGACCGGCCTTTTTTTTTCACCATATAATATAATGTATCATACAATAATAAGTTTACTACTATCAAAATTATTAATTCGGTTCATGCATTGGAAGCCCTTCATGCTGTTCTTCATGATTCTATCTCTATGAAAGTGACACTTCTTTCATCTGAAGACATAATTGTGTAAGAGCATTCAATAAATTCACATACATATATATATATATGTGCATTTAATGTTTATTGCTACTTTTTACTAGTAATTCATGCATTTCACATGCATTATATACGTGCATGTATAATTGAGGCACATATAATATGTTTAGCTACCATTCCAAGCAATATATGCTCTCAATATCCATTAGATTTACATTTGCTAATTTTGCTAATAATTGAAATTTTTATTCTCCATTAATTCATGAAAGTTTGACTTTATTTCCATTTTGGTATGATTTAAGAAGTTTGACTCACTATTTTATTTTATCTCTTAAAACCTTATATTATCGCATTATATACCTTTCTTATCCCACCATATATACACTTTAAGGTCTTTAACCATAACATATAAAACATTATATTATCTTTTTTTCAAACTCTCCTAAAACAATAGCTTATACTCTATGTAATAAATAGGTCAAAGTTTTAAAAATGGAGATATTGTTTAATATATTTGATCTTCTAATGATGGCATGATTGATTTAATTTTCCCCATAAATCCATAATATTGATTATTGAAGTATTTAGAAGGAACGGTCTAAAATCTAAATATATGTATAACTGTTCTGGTTACATGATGTATTTTATATTGTATTAAATATGTCTGTATTATTTGTATACCACATGACATAGACAACAAGATACATAGTATAGTACGACTGCCAATTCAATAATAAGTACAGTATTATTAATAAAATTCTTGGGTTAATAGAAACGAAAGTAAAGATGCTGTTGTTAAGAGAAGAGTAAAGTTGGTAATTTAGATTAATAAAATCCATAGTCTTTGTCAGACTCCTGATACTGTGGCCCCCTACATATAGTACTTGCTATCTTAGAAGGAAGAGCCTCCCTTTGACTTTGACCGTTACGGACTAACACTTTGTTTGTACTCCGTTTGATGAGGTGGAATTGTTGACCACTTATACTTCCTCGATTGTTTTCCAATTGATATGCATTAAATTACTCTTTGTGTTTTAATAAGGGTTAACTTTGATTGACACATAATTTAAAAAATATACTCTATTTGTATTTTTATAAGTGTTATAAGTGTTACACTTTGATAAGTATATAAGTTTAGGAAACTTAATTGATTTGAATAAAATAAGAGATAAATGGGGTATTTGAAGTATTTAAAAAAATTGTAAAAGTAATATTTTATTGATAAGTAATGAATGAAATAATGAAACAGTAGTATTGAGTTTGGATAAACACCACGAAAAAAGACATGTATAATACTATTAAAATGTAATCTTTACCAGAAAAAGAAGCATAACACTTATTAAAACACGATCGCATTTGGTATAAGTGTAACACTTATTAAAACACGGAGGGAGTATATATTGTTAAATTTCATGAAATTCCTTGAGTTAGACTGTTGGTATCGGAATTTAGCAAAATAAAAAGGTGATTGCATATTAATTCACAATTTAAATAGAAACAATAAATTTTAAAAATACAAAAATGAATTAAATTAGCATTTTAAAGAGATAGTCAGAAAAAAAAAAAAAAAGATTTTTTAGTCTATATACCGTCTAAATTTATAGTTTTTTTTTTTTTACTAAATTGTCGTCAAAATTTTGTTTTTTTGTTCAATTGGCCAAAATACAAGTGGAGATTATTGGTGAACACAAATATAATTTTTTAGGCTTGAGAGAAGACTATAAGCTCGGCAAAGAGTGTTAAGACTGTTAGAGCACATTGCATCGTGAGATGGATGAGTAAAAACTGTCATACCAATTTCCCATACACTCTGGTAGTATTTGAGCTAAACCCACCTATGTCATAACATTAACAAAGAATGCATCATTTCGGTTTTTTTCAAAAATAGAATCACAGGGGAACATTACATTTGATTTCTACCACTTCCACAGGATCAATAGAAGCCATAGCCATTTAAAGGCAGTAAGATATAGATTGTCAACTTGTGCATAATGATGCTAGTAATATGAAAAGACTTATAGACGACTTGAATAGAGTTTTAAAAGTTAGTTCCGAAAGCATGGAGGGGGACTCTCCACAGACTGATCCATGCAGTGTTCACAAATCACAATCCTATGATCCACAGAATACAAGTGATATGCAAGGGATCATTATGAGGAAGTGAACCTTAAGAATGGGATGAACAAGCATATAGGAGTATTTAGGGGCTTACTATATATATACTAATAGCTCTGTCAGATTACTTACTAAGATCTGATGGCAGAAAGATGCACATCAGCAATGTTCCTCACAGAAATCTCAACCCTTTCTTCAGCCTCACAGTCATGAAAGCCAAATGCTTTGTTCTTCAAGTGTGAATTTATTGTTCTCTTCAACTTTTTTTTTTTTTTTTTTTTTGAAGCAAATCGGGCAATTAAATTAATTATTCAAAGCAAGCTTATCCATCAATACATAGGGCGCAATATCCGGGGGGGTGGGGGCTATGACTAACCCAGATTTGCTCATCTCCGAAAGGGAAGGATCTAGCTAAATGATGTGCAACCATGTTGCCATCACGCTTTACATGAACAAAAGAAATGGAATTAAAGCTACAGCTAAGTGCTAGAATGTCTTCAAGAATGGCATCCAGCTCGGTACAGTAGACCATTGATCTTCCTAGTCTGAGAGCCATAACAATGCTCTTAGCTTCTGCAATCATGGGCTGCCACCATGCTCTGGAGCGTCTCACAGCAGCGAAGATAACATCACCATCCTCATTGCGTGCAACAACACCAAGACCCACCACACCTTCTGTATTCAGAGTTAATTTTAACGTAGCCTGGAGGAGGTGCTGCCCACACTTTCTGCTGCCGTGGAGCTTTCGTAAGCCCAGGTTTCGAGTAGATACATTTCACATATTTGCCCTGTTCCTCATCTAATCTCTCTACTCTATCAATGATCACCGAGTTTGGAACTTCTTTTCTCTTAAACACCAATTGATTCCTCTCATGCCACACACACCAAGCCAAAATAGCACCCTTTCGAAGAATTTTTGTGTCAATATTACACCAGTCAGCCACCAGATCACACATAGACTTGCTCCCACCATCCCTCATCATAATCGAGCACTGCACATCATCCCACATTGGTTTCACTCTGCTGCAATCAAAGATAGCATGCCAGGGACTTTCATCTTCAATCCCACAGCGTGGGCATGTGGCACTATCGAGTAAATTGTCGTCGCCTAAGTTCAGATTTTGTAGACAAAGTACCTGTTCTCTTCAACTTATTTCAAAAACATGTTGCTTATTCCTGTCGAAAAATTACACATTTAAAAAGTACATATTGAGACGAATCTAACATGATCCCAACTAATAGTGTATTTTCTTAATAAAAATAAGGTCTGAGTTTAGTCAAACAAGTAGAGACTTTTCAGACCTTAATCCAAATACATCAAGTAGGACCAAATGTGCTGCTTTTCTCCACCTTGTTCGATTTGGTCAATTTCATGGCCTGCAATGTCCGACTTAATTATTAGACACATATATATCCCAAATTATAGGTGTTTGGCATATCTACTTTCTGATTGTTTGAATGGTTCTTATATCCAAGCTATGGTTTGTCAAATCCACTGCACCTTTAAAAAACTTTTTAACAAGAGTATGGAGGGCTTGTTTGGATCATATGCAGAACTGTATCATGTTTGATCAAACAATGGATTGCATAAAAATATAAAATGCTATGGAGTACTATTTATGATCTAGTTTTTGGAAAAAAGTTGTCTATAATCTAGCTTTTGAAGATAAAAAAATTCTGTCAGTAGTGTATGATCTTAGTTTTGACAAGAATTTGCTCTCAAAGTTTACCTTGTTTTCTTTTGCCTGGTCATAATGAATAGCTCATGTGTGTTTCAGCGCCATTGGGATCCTATGCTCGCTAGGATAAAATCAGGAGAAGGGCTAGCTAAGACTTGCTTCTGTCCCTCTACCGCGTTTGTTTAGCACAACAGCTTGTCAGATTGATCAAACTTGTGCTGGTAATCCACTGAAGCGTTGTCGATGTTTGATATTGGATGCAAATACTTTATTGCTCGATTCATTGACTTTACAAACTATCAAATTTTGTTCATGATGAACTCTCAGTGGAGTATTATTATGACCTTGATATGTCTTGTATCTCTAATAAAATGGCTCGAATATAGCCAAAGTCTCACAAACACTAAAAATCAGAACATATTTCCTTGCAAACATTTAAAAAAAAAACAGAATCTTTTATCCGAATGTATGCATATATCATGCACTTAAGAGATCGATAAAATTAATTAACACTAGGTGTTCGTCCTTGACTACTCTCTGAAGAAGTCATGAAATGAGTAAACCACATGGAAGACGCCTTACGATAACGTCTATGCCTATCAAGATAGTCGACATAGTTTAGGCCATAGCGAGTTTGATATCCTCCAGCATCAATTTCCATATTATCTGCCAATGACCATACAAAGTATCCCTTCACATTTGTAGCCTCTGACTTCCCATCCTTATTTCTTATATCCCTGCATTCAAATTCACGTCAATCCAATTATGTGTTTTCAGTAATGTACGTTGGAAAAGTGAAATTAAAGAAGAGAGGACAATATATATATATATATATATATATATATATATATATATATATATATGAGTGCATACGCTAAAGTTTCACGAAGATTGAAAAGATAGTTGCTAATATCTTTGATTCGATACTCATCTAGCAGTGCATCTTTGATTTCATCTAGTGATTTAGCTTTGGATTCGTCGTTGTCTATTACATTTTTTGCTAAATCCTTAATGGATCCTGTGATTGTGGGCATTGCAGGAACACCTGAATTACATACACAACTTATTAATTAGATCACGAATATATATGTCAATAACGTATCAATGTATCAGTGGTAACAAATAAAAGATAATTGATTACTAAATTAATGTAAAATGTACGTAAATGTATGTTAGTATGTATATAATATGGTGTATAGTAGTCTTAAAATTTTAAAGTTGTTCTCACCAAAAAAAAAAAAAAAAAAAAGATTTTAAAGTTGCAATTAGTACTTATGATAAGGAAAATTAATAAGTTATATATAGAACTCTAAGCTTAAAAATGGACAAAATATGTAGATCGAATTTTTAAATAATACCAATAACAAACACAATTTGACACGAGAAATTGTCCAAAATTTACACATGAAAAATAAGAATTTTGTGAAGGATTATTAGTTGATTGACTTCAATTCCAAATCATATGTTATGTCCATAAATGAGACTTATTATCATTTATCAATTTAATTCACAAAGAGTATCATTTTTTTTTTCTTCATATTCTTACATAATACAAAGTAGTAATTTTTTTTTTTGAACAAAGTAGTAATTAATAACTCACCATTTTATACTTCAGGGTTGTTGTATGTGTGCTTAACGTAAAGTAACAAGTCTCTCAATCCTGTAGGAACCACATAGATATCGGAACTTTGTGGAGCTGGACTTCCAATATAATCTCCTTCCTTATTTTGCACTGGAGAATTGAACGAGTGAAAATGATGGCAAAACATTAAACAAATATAAGTTGGTATTGAAATAGAAAGAATCTCACCTCCTTGCTCTATGAACTCCATACGACATTGTCCGTAAGTGGTGTCAATAGTTGATATGTGAGAAGGTGTGACATATCTTGAAGTATAGTAATTGAGACCTATGAAATCATATGAGCCTTGTACCATTGCCTTTTCCTCAGGGGGAAACTTGGGAAGCCCCCCGATTACAAGTTCTTGCATGATTTCGGGGTATTCACCATTGACTAGCGGATCCATGTACCTACAAATTAGAAACAAATGAAAATATGTAGTAAATTTCACACGTTGCAATAATAAAGGATGGAGATCGGGGTTACATGATATATGAAGCAGTACTATTTGTATTTTCCACTTATCAACCCAACATCATGTCTAAGGATGCCTTTTGAGCCTTTATATGGAGTCCGTTTTTCTTATCATAAGGTTCAAACCATAGCGATGATAATGAAATACCAATCTTTCCGCCTTGAGCTTCCTAAGATAGGTATGAAGTATTTTATAGTTAACATAGGTTACATTAATTATTTGTTGTGATGTAAAGATGTGATTAATTAAAAAATGTGATTGATCACCTGATAATTCTCTCGGTAATGTTGGACAGCAGTAGCATGAGATAGGATGATGTTGTGGGTAGCAACAAATGGACTTGGATCAATTTTATTGTCTGCTGGCAACCCTGTTTTGTATCCGAATGAACCAAAATTATAGGGTTCATTTATAGTTATCCAATTTTTAACTTGATCACCAAAGTTCTGGAAGCATACATCCGCGTAATCTTTGAAGTCCTCTCTACATTCAACCAATAAACGATATCATATATCCTCAACGATTCACTTGTGAAGAAGCTACAACTCAAACCTCACATACAACACTCCTTACTTCAATTCGTAGTATATATTATATAGTTATATATATACCCTCAAGTACGATTCTACCTTCATTGATTTATGTTGGGCCAATTGACCATATTTGTATATAAGTTAACACCCTTATGACATATTGGTATATAAGTTATTGCCGGCAACATATTGGTATAAAAATTAACATGTGGCGACATATTGGTATATAAATTAACAAATTGTGACATTTACCCCGCCCTATTTTTTCTTCAGTTGAAAGAGCGTGTTGTATACTTCAAAAATTTGTTTTAATTACTTTTGCAATCTTATTTATTATCATAATATACTTATTCAGCACCAAATAATAATTTTTCCCTCTTCCCTTCCAATACAATAACTTTGATAAATCAATCAAATGATAAAACCCCAAAGAACTAATAAACAATAAACAAAATCTCAATATTAGTTATTTAATTTCAAAACCAATTACTAGTAGACGCTAACTTTCATTATTACTTCATTTGTTTAGTTATACCCACAACTTTGTAAATCAACAATATAATAAGAATATATATATATATATATATATATGAGTGTTTTTTTTTTTAAAAAAAAAAAAAAAGAAGAATCTACCCTTGTGATGCTTCAATGACCAACGCCCTCAATACATTCAAGCTTATATCCCTTTGCTCAAGCTTTCCTACTCGTTTTCCCCTAGCTTCTTTCTCATCACTTTTGGGCTTTTAATTTTTTTTTTTTTTTTGGATTTTTTCTTCATAAGTTTTTAAAATTAATATGAAAAGTAGAGAAAAGTACAAAAAACAAAATGTCAAATAAAAGTTATTAGCACTAAAATTAAGCGCGTGTATCATACGCATATCCTCCGACGAGAAAATAGGGGTAAATGTCGCAATTTGTTGACTTATATACCAATATGTCGCCACATGTTAATTTTTATACCAATATGTCGCCGGCAATAACTTTTATACCAATTTGTCATAAGGGTGTTAACTTTAATACCAATATGGTCAATCACTACAAAAATTTGGCCTTTTAGCAACAGGTGAAATCTGTTGCTAATTGCTAAAAATCCGTCGCTGGACATAGCTAGCTACAGATTTATCAACGGAATCACTCCGTTGGTAAAAACCTTGTCGCTAAATGAATTTAGAGACGGAAAAAAAATCCGTCGCTGGACTTAAATCCAGCGACGGAAAAAATAAATCCGCCGTCGCTAGATTTAGCAACGGAAAAAATAAATCCGTTCCTAGATTCAGCAACGGAAAAAAAAAATCTGTTGCTAGATTCAGCAACGGAAAAAATGTTTTGAATCGAAAAAAAAAGCTGCTATTTGGGTCGACCTCACTCGGGTCAACCCGACTCGGCTTTCCATGTAACGCTCCTTGAATCTCCAATCGCAATATTACTGTTAGTAGGAGTCGAACCCGTGACCTCAATGTCAAATATTGATACTCTTACCAACTATACCAAATATTATTTGTTTACTTTTACGCACATAATTGATAATAAATGAAAGAAATATTAGAGACGGAATTTAAAATCCATCTCTAGTTTAGAAACGGAATTAGAAAATCCGTTTCTAAATTAGAGACGGATTTGAAAATCCGTTTCTAGTTTAGAGATGAATTTAACTTACATAATTCGTCTCTAATGTAATATTTTAAATAATTAGTTTAAAAAATTATCTAGAGACGGAATAAAAAAATCCGTTGCTCATATTAGCAACGGAAAAAAAAAATTCTGTCTCTAACTTAGCAACTGAAAAAAAATCCGTTGCTAGATTCATCAACGGAAAAAAAATCCGTTGCTAATTTAGCAACGGAAAAAAATCCGTTTCTAATTTAGAGACGGATTTTCAATTCCGTTGCTAATTTAGCGACGGAATTTTTAATTCCGTTTCTAAATTAGAAACGGATTTTTAAATTCCGTCGCTAAATTAATTTAGAGACGGATTTTTTGATTCCGTCTCTAATTTAGAAACGAATAAAATTCCGTCGCTAGAATTCCGTTTCTATATGGACATTTTTTTGTAGTGAATTGACCATTTATGTTGTTAAAAAACAAGGAGTACTTGCGGTTATTGAGATATAAATGCATATTGTAATGTGATATTATGAGAATAATATTTATTAATAGGTTGACTAAGGTCAACAAAAATAAGTCAAATACTCGTCAAATTTTATACTTGGGTCAAATATTTTTAAACAAGGAAATGTATGGATATCAACAAGACAATGTAAGTTGCAAGATATAAAGGATGAAATTAAAGAAAACGAAAAGGAAAAAAAAACTTACATGATATCTTGACTCAAAAAACCGCTATACTTGTTTTGTACACTCTGGGGAAGGTCAAAGTGGAACATCGTCACAAAAGGGGTGATTCCTTGTAGATAATGCAAGTAGATCGAGAAATTTTGTTAAGGTATAACTCAAAATATTCATTCAAATTAAATTGAAGTTAGTTTGATAGATTATGATTACCATGAAGCAAGAATGAATCAGTAAATTACCGTTTTCAATAAGTTCATCGATCAAGTTATTGTAAAATTCAATGCCTTGTTGATTCACGTAACTATTGTCGACACCAGGATCTGCGTGTACACATGAAAGAGAAACAAATTATACTTCGTATTCATTCTTTTTTTTCTTTTTTTTTTTTTCAAATGTCTTCAAGAAATAGCTAGATTTATTTTAACAAATACATATGTTGAGAATACTGTAGAAGGCCCAGCCCAATGCAACAACTCAGGGGCATAACAGAATTCTAGCTGTACAAATTCTGTTATTAATTGGAGGTTATAAATAGCCTACCTAACTACTGTAATAATTAGTTAGTTAGTTGCTTTCATTATTAGCAGATGTAAACACTTTCTCTCTCAATAAAATCCTCTCTTCTTTCTCTCTCTATACAAGCTTCTCTAATGGCAGACTTGGAATTTTGAAATGGTATCAGAGCAGCGATTTCGATCCTAGGATTGCTTTTCTTGTCTTCCGCTTTGTTCCAGTTGATTAAGGATGTTCTTCAACCCTTTTTGAGTTGTTTGTTTTTCTTGGTTTTTTTATTTGATTGGATTGTTTGGTCTTATATCTTCTGGGTTGCTGTTGTTGAGAATTTGAAGAACTATAGTTGAAATTAGTTGATTCTTGTGTTTACAAGTTCATTGAAATTGAAGAAATACGATTGATTGAAGGATTATTTGTTCGATAATTCGGCTTATTTGATTAGCAATAGGGTTTTTCTTTTCGAAAATTCGTACCCTAGAATAATTGGTTGATTGATTTCCTTGGTTGGAGTTTGTTAGATTTCTGATTGATTAAGTTGAAACGGCTGGAGAACAATTTTCTGATAGTCAGAATAGAATTTTAGAGTTGACCAAGGATCCTAGCTCGATCTATTACATACACCCATCAGATAATAATGTTCATAAGTTCATTTCTGAGGTTTTTGATGGTGAGAATTATGCTTCTTGGAAGAGGTCGATGGTAATTGGATTGTCTACTAAGAACAAGCTTAGCTTTGTAGATGGTAGCTTGTCAGTCCCATTAAGTACAGACACAGCTTATAGAGCATGGGTAAGATGCAATGATCTTGTGATTGGTTGGATATTGGGGGTGCTTGGACCAGTTACCAAGAAGAGTGTGTTCTTCTACAAATCTACTAGAGAAATATGGCAGGATCTAGAGGAGAGGTATGGTCAGGTGTCCTCAACAGAGTTATATGGAATTCAAGAGGAAATTTCAGCTGTACATCAAGAAACTGAAGAAATTGATGAATTCTTTGCCAAGATCAAGGTCTTATGGGATCAACTAGATGATGTGAACCCTATTCCAGTATGCACTTGCAGTGGGTGTGTGTGTAATCTGACAGGAAAATTCTTAAAGATTCAACAAGATTCAAGACTGCTGCAGTTTCTGATGAAGTTAAAAGATGAATATAAGCAAGTTAGAAGTAATATTTTGATGATGCAACCACTTCCTACTCTTACTTTGGCTTACAGGATGCTATTACAAGAACAGAAGCACAAACAAATCAGTGATCACAACACTACTTCCACAGATGGTTTTGCTTTTGCTGCAGACAGAAGGAAATTCTATGATAATAAAGGTTTTAACAACAACAGACCTGGCTATCAATCCTACAACAACAACAGAAATAGAGGTGGTTTTCAAGGAAAAAATGTGAGAAACAGTTACAAAGGAAACATGTCTGTTTTGTTCTGTGATCACTGTAAGATGACAGGACATTTGATTGACAGATGTTTTAAGCTCCATGGGTATCCAAATGAGCAGAAGGGTAATCATGGTCAGAAGAGGTTTGCTAATATGGCTCAGGGTGAGAGTTATTTTGGTTTTGATGACAGTGGAGATGATAATATTACAACAACTTTTTCAAGGGATCAGTACAACAAGTTCATGAACTATCTTGATAATTCTCAGGAAGGAACAGTGGTTGAAAATACTCAGGAACAGAAAACTGAAGAATATGTCCCAAGTACTTCCAGAGCTGCATATTTTGCAGGTAAACTTTGCCTTTTTTCTGCTTTTACTACTGGATGGGTGATTGATAGTGGAGCAATAGATCACATTTGTAGTGATTTAACTATGTTTGATACATATAGAGTTATGAATTCTGGAGATGATACAATAACTATACCAGATGGTAGAAAAGTCTCTATATCCTATGTAGGAACAGTTACTTTAGAACAAAACATTGTCTTGAAAGATGTTCTTTTTGTTCCTGAATTCCAGTTTAACCTTATCTCTATTCATAAGCTTTGCAAAGACCTTTCCTGTTCTGTTAAGTTTACTGCTACCTCTTGTATTATACAAGATCCTACCTTGACAAGGGAACTTCTTCTTGGTAACCAGAAATCTGGCCTATATCTTGCAGATAATATCCCCTTTGAGAGGAATCTTGAAGATAGCTTTCATCTAGCCTCTACAGTAAGTAATAATAATAAGGAATCTTCTTGTACTCCCAATAATGATGCATTGGCATCTTAGGTTAGGACATCTTCCTTTTAAGCACTTAAAGCTTGTTGTTCCTAGTCTGCCTGTGAATAATTGTAATGATGATATATGCCAAATTTGTCCTCAAGCAAGACAATGTAGAAAATCTTTTGTTTAAAGTTCAATAAAAACTTCTTTTCCTTTTGAGCTCATACATGTTGATATCTGGGGACCCTACAAACACAAAACTCACAATAATTGTGCCATGTTTCTCACCGTTGTAGATGAATTTACAAGACATACTTGGGTACACTTATTGCATTTTAAGAATGATTCTGTTCAAATTTTTATTGACTTTGTGGCTTTTGCTGAGAATCAACATGGCTTTAAAGTTAAATGTATAAGGTCAGACAATGCAAAGGAATTGTGTGAAGGGAAAATTGCTGAATTTTACTTTGCTAAGGGTATTCTTCATCAAACCAGCTGTAGTGATACCCCACAACAAAATGGAGTAGTAGAAAGAAAACATAAACACCTTCTTGAAACTGCTAGAGCCTTATTTTTCCAGTCCAAACTTCCTTACAAATATTGGGGGGAATGTGTTTTAAGTGCAGCTCACATCATCAATAGAATGCCTCTATCATTCTTACACCATTCAACTCCTTGTAAGAAAATTTTTGGGGTAGATTATGATGTTTCACATCTTAGGGCTTTTGGGTGCATGTGTTTTGTGTCAACATCTAAGGTAGGGACAACCAAATTTGATCCCAGGGCTGACCCTTGTGTCTTCATTGGCTATTATCCTACCCAAAAGGCTATAGAGTATTACACCTCAATAGCAATCTCATTACAGTAAGTAGAGCTAGATGTTCATTTTTATGAGCAACATTTTCCATTTCATGTCCTGCATTCTCAAAACAAACCTTTTCAGTTTTTTCTTCCAAATGTTAACAATGACCACATTTTCAATGATCCATTTATGGACTATACTGAGGGGTATCCTGTTCCCATTTTTGTGTCTGTTACGCAGTCAGATCAAACTCCTACTCCTATCCCTATTGATTATCATTCTCCCTCTACCAGTTCATCACCCTCCATTTCCATCTCTAACTCAAACACTACTACTTCATCTTCTCTTCCATATCCTATCATTGAACCATCTCAAGTCACAGATATCTTAGATTCAGTATCATCTGAGCCAATACAAGATATCAGACAATCTACAAGACCTAGAGAACCACCTAAGTGGATGAAAGACTATGTTTGCAAGCTCCCAGCTAAGACCAGTTCTCACTGGTGCGATCTAGTCATATTTTCTGACATTCCATCTTCCCATACAGCCTTAATATCCCAATCTTCTTCCCTTACTGAACCAAAAACCTACAAAACAGCTTCTAAACACCCAGAATGGGTATCTGCAATGAAAAAAGAAATTGATGCCCTAGACAAAAACAAAACAAGGGATATAGTTGACTTACCCCTTGGAAAAAAGGCAATTGGCTGTAAGTGGGTGTTTAAGATTAAGCTAAAGGCAGATGGCACAATAGAAAGGTATAAGGAAAGGCTAGTGGCAAAAGGATACACTCAGAAGTATGGTGTTGATTATGAAGAGACATTTTCCCCTGTAGTAAAGATGTCTACTATTAGATGTGTTATTGCTGTGGCAGTGAATAAAGGGTGGGATTTACATCAATTAAATGTAAATAATGCTTTCCTCCATGGTGATCTTAATGAGGAAATTTACATGGCTCTACCTGAGGGAGTTCATGGTCAGTCTGGTAAAGTCTGCAAGCTCAGAAAATCTCTATATGGGTTAAAACAAGCCTCCAGACAGTGGTTTGCTAGGCTTCTTTCAGAACTAAAGCAACAAGGGTTTACTCAGAGTTATAGTGATTCTTCCTTGTTCATTAAGAAGAAAGATGGGAAGATAACTGTTGCTGCCATTTATGTTGATGACATAATACTGACTGGTGATGATGCTGAGACAATCACTGAGTTAAAATCTCATCTGGATAAAACCTTCAGTATTAATGACCTTGGGAGGTTAAGTTTCTTTCTTGGTATTGAGGTCACTTACTTGCCAGAAGGGGTGGTTCTTACACAGAAGAAATTCACTCATGAGTTACTGGAAGAATGTAATTTTTCTCTTTAAAAAGGAGCAGTCACACCCTTGCCACAGAACCTGAAGCTGACAGCAGAAGATGGCTCTTTGCTTACTGATCCAGCTTTATATAGCAGTCACACCCTTGTTCAAGCGCTCAGTCAATTTATGCAAATGCCTAGAACTTCTCACTTGGAAGCATTGCAGCACACTCTTAGGTATGTATCTCACACAGCAGGACAAGGGATTTTGCTAAAAGGTTCTTTTGCTCTTACTCTTCAAGCTTTTAGTGATGCTGATTGGGGATCTTGTCCTAATTCAAGAAGAAGTGTTACTAGCTATGTCTTACAGCTAAGGTCATCTCCTATAAGTTGGAAATCAAAAAAGCAGCCTACTGTATCCAAGTCATCTTCAGAGTCTGAATACAGGGCAATGGCCAGTGTTGCAGGAGAAGTAGTTTGGTCTGTCAGGTTGCTAGGTGAACTAGGTGTGTTTAATCTGTTGCCTGTCACCCTTCATTGTGATAACCAGTCTGCAATTCACATTGCAAAAAATCCTGTGTTTCATGAGCGTACCAAACACATAGAGATAGACTGCCATTTCACTCGAGAGAAAGTTCTTGAAGGCCTCATTCAACTGACTTACTTGCCAACAGCATCTCAACTTGCAGATGTCTTCACCAAGATCATTCCCTCAGCTTAATTTGTTGATCTTCTGTCCAAGCTTGGCCTGTTCAATCCCCAGTCCAGCTTGCGGGGGGGGGGGGGGGGGGTTGTTGAGAATACTGTAGAAGGCCCAGCCCAATGCAACAACTCAGGGGCATAACATAATTCCAGCTGTACAAATTCTGTTATTAATTGGAGGATATAAATAGCCTACCTAACTACTGTAATAATTAGTTAGTTAGTTGCTTTCATTATTAGCAGCTGTAAACACTCTCTGAATAAAATCCTCTCTTCTTTCTCTCTCTATACGAGCTTCTCTAATGGCAGACTTGGAATTTATTACCATGTTGTAGACTCGTAGCACCACTAATACTAGATAATTTAATCACCAATAATCCAATTATCCAATCTTGAAGTAGTAAATTTTAAGTTTTTATTTAAGAAGTTCTAAACATATTTATTTAGACCGATCATATCACACGAGATCAAGCAGTAAATTTGTGTACCTTATAGAGGCTGTATGAATCAATAGCCATTTGATTCCCGCCACTTGAAATCATGGAATCCCAGGTGCTTGGTGCTCTCCCACCTTCTTTTCCATTTCCTTCCGTCTGTAATTTTCACAATTTGTTAACATACATTTTCATAACTTTTTATTAATTTATTAAAATTAATACTCCGTAAATTTACTATCATATGTACTCAGAGTTAGATAAGCAAAAATAAAGTAAATTAAACAAGTCCTAAGTATTATATATACTGAACGTAGTATATAGTAACAACTCATAGAGAAACCTGAAAGGCAGAAGAAGAGGCTCCAAAAATGAAACCAGGAGGAAAATCAGATCTTTTAACATGAGTTGGTATAGAGATGGTGGCAGGCTCCAAGCCGGGAGCCAACACCACCGACATAGTGCTACCGTCCACAGATGGTGGTTGTGGTGGTATCTCCACCATATCATCAGCAGATGGTGTGGTTAACGAGGCGGTTGATGATACCCTTACATTCTTAACAGCAATATGGAAAAAAGAGGGCTTCTTTCTTAGGAAGATTGAGCTCTTTGTAACCTCTCGAAAATCATGGGTGTGCATAGAGAGTTGTTTACTCTCTAGATGCACTGCCATTCCACAAGAAAGTGCCATTATTGCCAATATAATTAATTAAGCCAATATTGTATACAACTCTAACTAGATAAGAATTAGAGGATGATTATTTTTTATGGTACAAAACTTTTCCTTGTTGTAACTCTTATTTATAGTAGTGTTGTAATAAATAAATGGTTAGTCATTATAAAATTCGATTCTATCTCATTATAAAATTCGATGCAATTAATGACTCAGATCGTACAGCAATAATACCTTTAAATAAGTTATGCACCATAATATGGTGGATCATTATCGACCGTCAAGTTCGCTTCCTTGAGTTCCTTCACTTTGATTTAATATTGATCATGCCTCGTGATACTCGTGCACTCGTGCATGGATCGGAATAGATATGATTAGATTGTGAACGAATAAAATGGGAATCTTCGATTTATCAAATTATATTGTTGATATGCACTGAACAGTACAATACTAACTAAATTAACTGCATTGAGTCAATCGAGAGGAAAGGCAAATGTTACACAAAGTAATATATCGATACAAATTGTGTTTGAAAATGAAATCAGCCTAACAATAATAATGTGGTTAAAAAATTGATTTTTTTCATCTTTCATGTCTTTTAATTGCAGCATAGAGGAGCTGAAGAGATATAATGCACATACATGTAAAACTAGCTAGTTATGTTGAGTATACATAAAAATTTACCAAGATGAAACGTTTTACAACAAAATTTAAACAATATCAGTGGAGGGCGGTATATATTAATATAATAATATGACATCTCTAAAGTCCACTTGGGTAGTTTAAATTGTTCACTTTGCCTTTAAACCATAAAATTAACCATTTACATCTTATGTCCCCCTTCGTTGACTTAAGGCAGGGACTTTATATGACTGATTAGTGGTTCAATGTGGTTCAATTTTAAACACCATTATATGAACCTAAATTGCATCCTCTAAAATCTCATGAGTTTTTTATGCGAGTTTTGAAGCATTCAAAATTAGTCTGATTATGTGTGTATAGCCTTCAAATTTAACTTTTGAACAATAATTTTGGATCTAGCAAGTTAATGACCTCGGAAGGCCTACTTGAATGGGTGTTCAAAACCATCTCTTCTATGCCTTGATCCAACCTTCATCACCATGTCTTAAGATGCCGTTGTATTGGTAATGTTACCTATAGAACGTAACCTCATGCCCAATCCTGAAAGTCAATCCTCTTACCAAAGTTATGAGTCTATTTTGCCAACTTCCCTTGCCTACATTGCTCCATTTAAGCCTAACAATTTAGCAAAATCCAATCCAAGAAAGCAAAATTTTTCTTTTGTTATACGGAGTGTTTGGGTCCAATTTAGTCAAAATTGGGCCTAAGCACTAAATGATCCAATTAAAAGCCCAAGGTCAAGGTTCAACTCTCCAATTGCACAAAAGTCAAAGGTCAGCCCACAAAGCATGCCAATTGGGCTAAGGCCCAACCTCACCATGTATGATGAGGTATAAAAGCCATCAGATTCTAATTCATAGGCTCACATATTTTTGCATTCAGAAATATTCCACAAAAGCCTCAAGCTACAAACTCTCTTGCATAGTGTCTTCCTTTTACACATTGTACTGACTTTAGCATCGGAGGGGCCTTCCTCGGAAACACCCCCGAGGCTAGTTTACGTGTGTTTACTGTGCAGGAAACCTTCGGCCCAACACAACTTGGACCGAATCCAGTCTTCTCCATTTCAGCGGACCTTCGGCAAGGTCCCATTGTTTTCACCCGAAACAATTTGGCGCCGTCTGTGGGGAAGACTTTCAAAAATCTTTAAGCCAAATTCCTAACCAAGATCATCTTGCAATTATCTTAGCAGCCATGGCTAAGAACCGCAAGAGCAAAAGCCTCCGTCAAGGAGCGGGCGAAAAGCCTAAAACCCCTACACCATCGCCCTCGCCGGACCGGAACTCTCCCAAGGGTGCCGGCTCGGGGGGAGGATCATACAAGGAGGATTCCCTATCTCCCGTAATGCATGACTCTCAATATAGGCCGGACCACTCTCGGTCTAGCAGGGGTCAGTCTGATCATAGGACATATTCAGTGTCCCAAAGCCAACCATCGGCTGCGCGGCCTCATTCCCACACTCGGCCGAGGACCCCTTTGACGGGGCCCAGTTCGGAAGAGGTGGCAAGAGCGCTGGCAATACTCATGGAGGCAATGAGGGCACAGAATATGCCACCGCCTCGTGATCGAACTCCTCCGCATACCCGGCATCAGCGGAGGAAGTTAGACCATGACGGTGGGAAGCTTCCTTCCTTCCGGGAACTGGAAGAGTGGGAGGAGGATTCTTGGAAAAATGAAAAACAGAGGAAAAAGAACCCTCAAGTATTTAAAGGATCCTCATCCTCAAGACCAGAAGCACATAAGAGCAGCAGCTCAGCTTCTCGGCCAGAATCTACTCGCCGAGAACCAGAGACTGTTCGCAGAAGCGTCCTTGACCGACTCGGTGGCCAGGAACCGAGCGTGCGTAGTCGTCTCTCGTTCCCTGCAGCCGAGGCCCAGACTTCCCAGCCAGGGACGAAAACCACTCCTACCTCTCTAAGAGGGCGGAGCGCGGTCCCTTCGGCCAGGAACAAGGGCAAGGCCGTTATGCTACCCGCTAGTTCACCATTCGAGCAATGGATACTGGAAGAGCGCGTACCCACGGTTAAAATACCGTCGCATATCACATATGACGGGACCACGGATCCGAAGGACCACGTGGCCTCGTATGAGACTCATATGCATCTTTGCCCCAGATCCGAGGCGACTTGGTGCAAATATTTCCCAACCACTCTCAAGGGGGTCGCGCAAGCGTGGATCTCCAAGGGAGTAAGGCAAGGCTCCATAACAGGTTGGGATGATCTGTCCTCCAAGTTCAGGAGCAAGTTTTCCACGGCAAACCGCCGAGAGAAGACTACCGCAGAGCTCATGAGTCTGCAACAGGGGGAAACCGAAAGCCTCCGAGACTACCTGACCCGTTTCAGTAACGAGTCATCAAGCGTCTCCCAGCTGGACCAGGGGTTAGCTGTTTTTGCAATGCAGAATGGCCTTCAGCCAGGAAAGTTCCTAGACTTCATGGTCATGCATACCCCGCAGACCTTGGAGGAAGCTCTTAGTGCTTCGGATAAGTTCATCCGAGCCGAAGAATGGAATAAAGCAAAAACCCAACCTCAATCCGGGGGAGGGAAACAGAGGCAAATACCCTTGTCTGAAGGCCAAGGCCATAAGGCAAAGGGAAAATCAAAGGCTCCGGAGCCATCTTTGGCCAACGACCTAAAGAAGGACAAATTTGCCTCATACACAGGCAGATACGAGTCCTACACTCCGCTCTCTCTTCCACGCGCCAAAATTTACAGTGTGACGAAGGAGGAGCAGAGTTACCGAAAGCCGAGACCACTCCCAGAGTGGTATCAGCGAAAAAATAAAAATCAGTGGTGTGAGTTCCACGAGTCTTCGGGCCACAACACTGAGGAGTGTATCCAACTGAAGGACCAGATAGAGGACATGGTCCGGAAGGGATACTTGAAAAAATACATCGCGGATCACCGCGAGAAAAAAGAATCCGAGAGGTCAGCAAAGGACCCTCGGCAGGACCTTGATTTCCCCTGGAAAAACAGTAAAAAACCGGAGGGGAAATTCCCTCCGATCAATGTTATCTCGGGAGGAATATACTCTCGGAGGGAGCACAAGCGTCACCTTAGAGCTTTGACTCACCAGGTGAACAACGCTGACATTCAATCTCCCCAGTCGCCGGTGCCGAACATGACGTTCACAGCCGCCGACTGCCGGGGGATTACGTTCCCTCACGAGGATCCGTTGGTGATCATCGCCACGGTGGCCAACCACGACGTCAGTAAGGTCCTTGTTGACGGTGGCAGCGGAGCAAACATTCTGTTCCGAAAGGCCTACAATCAAATTAAGCTGAAGCCCAAGCACCTTACGCCGGTACCCTATCCGGTATCCGGGTTCAATGGGGCTTCAACTTATCCAGATGGGAAGGTGACACTTCCTGTCACCATCGGTTGCGATGAGGCAGCCCGGAACGTCATGATTGAGTTTTTGGTCATCGACGCTCCTTCAGTGTACAACGTGATTTTGGGGAGACCCATAATTCACGAGATCCAAGGGGTCGTCTCAACTTATCATCAGCTGATGATTTACGTCTCAGACGCCGGCTTCCCCGAAAGGATACAGGGCAACCAAAAGGACGCCCGAAGGTGCAACTACCTCAAGCCATCCAGTAGTCGCCCAGATGACGACAAGGATGAGGAGGAGAAAGAAAAAGAAAGAGAGCCAAGCACAAAAAAGCCGAAAGGCCTAAGTGCTTCGGCCCAAGGGTCCATGCCCAGAGAGAAAGGTCCCGAAAGGGAAAAGGTTGACTCTTCAGCTGAGCCGCAAGACTCAGAGAGCCATCCGAAGAACACAAAGACTGGGACACCTGCTGACATTGGCAGCAGACCAGATTCTGAAGAGTCCAGTCCATCGGCAATGGACATGGACCAACAGACTGAAACAGTTGAGTTGGCCGAAGGAGATGCTGAGAAATGTGTAACAATCGGGATGGACCTTGATCCTAACACCCGTTGTGAACTTATTCAGCTCATTCGGGATAACAGAGATGTGTTTGCTTTCTCGGCAGCTGATATGCCCGGGATAAGTTCAGACCTCATCTCCCATAAGCTTAATGTTGACCCAACGTGTCGACCAGTTAAGCAAAAGAAGCGGAATTACTCCGCCAATAAGAACCGAGACATCGCAGCCGAAGTCAAAAAATTATTGGAGGCAGGGTTCATTGAACCTTGCCAATATCCGGAATGGCTGGCAAATGTGGTGATGGTTCAGAAGCCCAATGGTACCTGGAGGATGTGCGTTGACTTCACGGACCTAAATAAGGCTTGTCCAAAGGATTTCTATCCCTTGCCGAGAATCGATCAGCTAGTCGATTTGACAAGTGGCCATGCCTTGCTTAGTTTCATGGACGCATTCTCGGGGTATCATCAGATCTTTATGCACCCCGACGATCGAGCCAAGACAGCATTCGTCACGAACTCTGGGGTGTATAATTACAAAATGATGCCCTTCGGATTGAAAAATG